CAAATCTAGCTCGTCTGTCAGATCACAATCTGTTTCCCCCCAAAATAGCCACTGTTGTTTCTTGTGTATTCTTTCAGGAAAAAAGTGCATTTACAAATATGAGCATATCCTTTGTTTTTTAAATTTACATAAAAGGGATCTCACACACACTCACACACACACACACACACACACACACACACACACACATTGCCCCTTGTTATCACTCACCAATGTCTGTAAGAAAATGCCTTGCAAGACATTGAACCAAGCAGATCATGCATTGCAGTGTATCACCGACCAGAGACAAAGAAAGAACAATTTTGTTTACTAACACCTTTCAAGAACTTGGTGTCAAAAATACTTGATAAGAGGTAGTCTGAGTGGACAGCTCTGTTTACCAGGAAACCAGTACTGATTTTTTCAGTCTTTTAAAAATCCTTCTGAGTGTACCATCGAGGTTCTAGTATTTATTTATTTATTCTGAATAAATTTATTTATTTTTGGCTGTGTTGGATCTTCATTGCTGCGCACAGGCTTTCTCTAGTTGTGGTGAGCGGGGGCTACTCACTGCGGTGGCTTCTCTTGTTGCGGAGCACCAGCTCTAGGTGCACGGGCTCTAGAGCACAGGCTCAGTAGTTGTGGCATACGGGCTTAGTTGCTCCACGGCATCTTCCCAGACTAGGGCTCAGACCCATGTCCCCTGCATTGGCAGGCGGATTCTTAATCACTGTGCCACCAGGGAAATCTCAAGATTCTAGTATTTAGAAGTGCTTTGAACACAGAAAACTTGGGACCATAGCATTAGAGTCACATGTAGATCTGTTGCAGTAGTGAAGACTACATAATAGAACCTCAGTTCTTTTATTTAAATAGTGCTTTTATGAACATCTTTGTCACTAAGACTTTCCATACTTAATTTCCTTAACATATATTCTAAGAAATGTATTTCTTGAATCAGAGAACATTTTAAGCCCATTTTTAATGCCCACTGCCAAATTGATCTCTGAAAGCATTGTACAAGTTTACCTTGTTATCAACAAGTTACGAAGGAACGGTTTTCACTTAATTCTCCCAAGCATTGTATGGTATTGTATATTTTTAAATCTTTACTAGTATGAGCGGTATAATGTGTCATCATCATTGTTTGCTTCAACTTGCATTACTTTCGTTTCCAGTAATATTTTTCTCCTTATGTTTACTTACTAGGTTTTTTTCTTTTTCTTTTTCTTTTAGAGTATTTGTTCTAGTCCATTACCCATTTATCTATTGGGATCTCAGTGTTCTTTACTCATACATCTTTAAGATCTTTATGTATTAAAGATATTAACTCATATAGGTTATGTGTCATTCAGCAATTATATATATTTTTTCCAGAGTGGTTTTTTTGCTCTACAGACGTTCTATAATTTTGAAACTTAGAAAGTCCTCCCCTTTTCTATTGTACGGTTTGATATTCAGTTCCAGTTTTTACTCAGTTTTGTAGTTTATCTCCTGAATGCCATCTAGAATTAGAATCTCTTTACTCTAATAGGGTCTGTTCTCACTTCTTTCTTATGCTGCATTAATCTGGCTGTTTCTGTACATTTTTACTTACTGTAGGTTTATAATATAATATGCTGAGGTCTCACCTCTCCACCCTTTTCCTCCCATCTATTAGCTTTTTTAAAAAATAAGGTTTAATTTTTAGAATTACATACAATAAACACATTAAACATTAAAAGAGAACAGTGAACATTCTTTACTTTACCCATCACCATTGATTTCATGACTTCTTTTCCCTAGCAGGCATGTCAGATCTTAGGAGTGCATTTGCTCCTATGTTTAGCCTCTTGAACTTCCCAGGTTCTACTCACTGCTTGTGTTGAATCTGGAACATGGCCATGATTTTCTTTCAACCCTTACGTTTCTTTTGTACCTACCTCTTTGATTGTATTGTTCTCTTAAAAAATAGTTTTTTCTGATTCGGAAAGTAGTACATGGTTATTGTAGAATGTTCAGAAAATATGAAGAACAGAATAATTCCCTGTGATTTCCCCATCCATTAGTAGCCACATTTTGGTGTTTTTCTTCCTATACCATCAACTTCACATTTTGATGGTTTTTTCTTACACAGTCAATTTTAATATCTTTCTTACACAAAGTTATGATTGTACTCTTTGTATGGCTTTATCACTGTTTTCACGTAATAGTCTATCATGAGTGTCACAAATATTTACTTTGTGTTCCCAGCACCCACCATAATTTTTGGACATAGTAATTCAGCTGTGAAACAGAAATGGTCATCAGTCTTCAGATAAGTAGGTGGCAGTGGCAGTGGTACTATTAGTAATAGTAATAACGATTAATATTAATTAATAACAGTTAACATTAATTGGGTATCTGTCACAACTCTAAATTTATTACTTATATAATATTCAAGATTATAAATGAAAACTCAAGAAAATCCCATAAGTAATATACTGTTATTTTCTCCCATTTTGCAGATGAAGAACTGAGACATAATTAGTTTAATATTTTCCAATAGGCCCCTTCATAGGAAATGATAGGATATGATCCTATGTCTTTTGATTAAAAAGATTTTACTCTTTACCAAACCCTTACACTAAATGTCACCCCTTAGTGCTGACCTAAAGATATTTTACTGTGCTCACCCTTTATAAGTACTATAGAGCCCTCCATTCTCTCTCAAGGTCTTTGTGTAGCACTGGAGTTCATCACAAGATTGCTTTGTAGTGCAGCCAGGTCAGTGCTTCCTCTGTCTGCACTATTAGAGCAGCTAAAGTACTTACTAAATCATGCACGTTACCTTCCATTTCATGCTAACATTCTGTTCTAAGTGGGCTAATATCTGGCTGTGGTTTCAGTAGTTCTTGGGATAATGTCACTTGATTCATTTGCAGATTTCTCTATCCATTCAGCATCTTAAAATCCCTTTGAACTTGTTCAGTTCATGTAACTTTCTTTTTTAAGATTTTACTTAGCGACTGGATCATACTCCAAAGGAAAGGGAAAATAAAATCCATTTAGTGGTAAAAATATGTCAATCATATATGACTCGGAAGTCCATAGATTGTGTCTGTCTTGGCACTCTGCAACCTTTTTTTAACCTCACAGTTGCTCTCAGATTTGCATTTCAAAACTGTATGTTGAAAGTATTAACTATAAGTTTGCTTACATTTTTGCTTTTTTTTGGTGGGACCAGAGGAGGCAAAGCTAATTCTCAGTGTAAAAATAATTCTCAGTTTAGGGCTTCCCTGGTGGCGCAGTGCTTGAGAGTCCGCCTGCCGGTGCAGGAGACGCGGGTTCGTGCCCCGTTTCGGGAGGATCCCACATGCCGCGGAGCGGCTGGGCCCGTGAGCCATGGCCGCTGAGCCTGCGCGTCCGGAGCCTGTGCTCCGCAAATGGGAGAGGCCACAACAGTGAGAGGCCCGCATAACGCAAGAAAAAATAATAATAATAATAATAATTCTCAGTTTAAACAACAAAACCTTTTGACGTTTTGGGCTTCCCTGGTGGCGCAGTGGTTGAGAGTCCGCCTGCCGATGCAGGGGACACGGGTTCGTGCCCCGGTCCGGGGAGATCCCACATACCGCGGAGCAGCTGGGCCCGTGAGCCATGGCCGCTGAGCCTGCGCGTCCAGAGCCTGTGCTCCGCAGCGGGAGAGGCCACAACAGTGAGAGGCCCGCGTAGTGCAAACAAAAAAAAATAATAATAAATAAATAAATAAATAAACCTTTTGACGTTTTGAAAGACAATCTGATGAAAAAAGTGGTCTGGAAAAGATTTAACTTGTTTTATGAGGAAGTAGTTTCCTAAAACGTGATCAGAGACTTTTAAAAAGGATGTACTTTGGAGAAAAGACCTGTCACAAAGATGGTGAGTGACTGGATCTGTTATGAATATTATTTTTCAAAAGGTTAAGAATAAGGAATGACAGTTGCTTATGAAAGGAGGGGGAGTCAAGAGGCCCAGTATTATGTAGAAATAAAACTAGTTATAGGGCATAAAGAGAATGATCTTTTATAGAGAAAGTAAACTACTTGGAGTAGGGCTTCCCTGGTGGTGCAGTGGTTCAGAATCCACCTGCCGGTGCAGGGGACACGGGTTCGAGCCCTGGTCTGGGAAGATCCCACATGCTGCGGAGCAACTAAGCCTGTGTGCCACAACTACTGAGCCTGCGCTCTAGAGCCCACGAGCCACAACTACTGAGCCCGTGTGCCACAACTACCGAAGCCCACGTGCCTAGAGCCCGTGCTGCACAACAAGAGAAGCCACCACAATGAGAAGGCCGCGCACCGCAACGAAGAGTAGTCCGTGCTTGCTGCAACTAGAGAAAGCCCCTGTGCAGCAATGAAGACCCAATGCAGCCAAAAACAAAAAATTTTTTTAAATTAAAAAAAAAAAAAACTACTTGGAGTAAAAAAAAAAGTGGAACTATTATAAAGGATGAAGAATTAGGAAAACGATAAAGGAAAAATGAGAAAAATAGAACAGGAAATAAGCTAGCCTGTTATTCTAAATGCTCTTTGAAATGTACTTTGGTAGGAAATAAAATGAACCACCCCCGTAGAATGTTTATGTTCTTGTGACTAAGCACTTACTAGTACTTTTATGGTTGCATCATTGAGGCTCTTATGATGGTTAGCATAGTACCTTTGCCTGTAGAATATCCTAGCTATTGAATGAATGTTGAAAGTGATCTGAAGTTACTTGAAATTTGTTTAATAAGTCCACACAATGACAAAATAATTTTCTTGGCTGATAATATTTTTTGAAGTTGGTGCTTTGCCTACATCCTCATAACAAGCATTTTAAAAGCATAGGAGAAACTTGGGTTTCTTTAAAGCTTGTCAACTGAGCATGGGAATTTTGGCTGTCAAAGCCAGATACCTATGTGTATATCCCTGTTGGGGATAGTAAATTTGGGCCCAATTATAAAGTAGAGAAGCATTTTTCTTCTTTGTAAAACCTGAAGTAGCATGTCCTTAATACCCTTACGTACTTTCTGTCTTCTTCAGGGAAGCAGTGCTTCTTAGTCCTACGTCAGCAGCAGTTTAATGTCCAGGCTCTTGCAGCCGTGGGAGACCACGCAAGCAAGCAGATGGTTAAATTTGCTGCCAAGTAAGTAAGCAATTATATCCTGTTGTCAGAATAAACAGTGGTGGGAACCGGGGCTCCCAGGGCTTTGGACCATTTTCATGCATTAACATCAACGCTTCCTTTGTTTAAAAATGTAGTTATTTAAATTGTCAGTTCAGTGTTGCTGAATACATTAAAGTTATAAAAGAGAAAATATGGAGCACAGGCTTGAAATTCATTTGGAACTGCTGAAGCAGCACTCTCTACAGACAAGTCACATTTACTTTCAAGTAGAGTTACAAAAAGCCTGGCAGCGTCAACACTGCAAAGCAACTTTATTTTGTTGTGTTTGTTGAGCTTCATTTCCTCCCTCCCTCCCCTAGTTTGAGATTTGCATATTAAGCAACAAGTTTTCTAACTAAATAATAGAAGTGTTTAAAATAAAAGAATGTGATTTTGCAAATGATTCCATCCTGAAGAAGTAAAACAAACGCGCTAACATGTTACAGCTTTTAACTTTGACACCAAAAAGGTTTAAAAAAAAAAAGTAAAGTTTGCTTTTTCTCCCCCACGAAAGTATTATTGTCTGGCTCAGGGTTCCTATAGAAGCTCATTGTTTTGTTCAGTTTACAAGGGGCAAGATACAGAGATAGTGTAGTGGTTGTGCCTGCTGGAGCTCTAAGGTAATAAGAGTTGGTGATGTGGCTAGTTTTGTTTGCATGTTTTTCTCAATTTAATTGAAATTTTATTTCCATGATAATGATCAGAGAAGACTCAGAAAAATGGACAATTTTAAGTAGTAGAGTACTTCATAGGCATAAATATTTTTTAAAAGAAATTCAGTCGAGTAAATGTTACATTTTTTCTATTGATTTTTTTTAACATCTTTATTGGAGTATAATTGCTTTACAATGGTGTGTTAGTTTCTGCTGTGTCACAAAGTGAATCAGCTATACGTATACATATATCCCTGTATCTCCTCCCTCTTGCATCTCCCTCCCACCCTCCCTATTTCCTATTGATTTTTATCTCTGTTATTTATATATATATATGCTTTCAAAGATGAGTTAATATAGATAGAATTATCAATTTTAGAACTAGAAGGAGACTAAAAACTCATCTAATTTAATATCTTAATTTATGGTTGGGCCTTCCCTGACTCCCTCAGCACAGTGGTTTACACATAATGGATGCTTAGCAACTGGTTTTGGTTAACAGATTTATTTATCCAATTTAGTTTTATTGTATCATAGCAATACCTGCCTTCTGGTTGAAAGACTCCGGTGCCATTAATTACATCAATTTACTGATGTGCTCAGAGGTCTCAGTACCACTAGCCCTACCTCTCCCTATCTCCCAGTCCTGCTGCCCAGAGACTGTCACTTTCATCTCTTCTACCTGTATCATTTGGTGATTAGGTTTGCTGTTTTAATACCTAGTCCTTAAGGGTATATGCTTGTGGGGTGCATTTGTCACCTAGCCTTTTCAGGTCAATCTGTATCCTATGAGGTGGGACATAGTAAATGTGGTCCCTAGAAATAAACTTTGTCTACACAGAGAGCCCCTGAAAACCACAGACATATATGCTAAATTATATTTAACATACTGGAAAATACTGGGGAAAAGTCAACTTCGAGTCAACAAGCTTTATGGCTTCTGTCTTTTATATATTATATTGATTCTGAAAACTAATATATGAAGCTGATAGTTTCATATAGAATATATTTTTTTGTTAAACTGCATTATAACCTCCGTATTACATTCTTAAAGGATTATCATCTGAAAGTCTTTTGGAAATCCCATTTACCCTTAATCACTAAGAGGCATTCTACTATCAAGAGAACAGTCAATTCATTTGATATCTCTAGAGGCAGACACGTTAAAGGAGTCCACAAATAGTTATTTCTTATTTTGGATCTTCTCAGAAACTCCTGGGACTTGACTGACAGCAATTGACCATATCAGATGTCAACCAAAGTTTACCAGCTGGAAAAGATACTTGCACACAGAACTTAGTTCACTAATGCCCTTATAATATATGTTAAAGACAGGCTTTCATCTAAAAGTGATAGTGTATGCATGATCTTTTTTTTAGAATAAGGGAAGAATTTAGATAATTTAATCTGGACTTCATAATCTTGAAGTGGATGGAACTCAATCAAGATCTAGATCTGATTTTAATCTCTTTGTTTTGTTTTTGTTTTTGGCTGCGTCACTTGGCTTGCGTGATCTTAGCTCCCCAGCGAGGGATTGAACCCAGGCCCTGGCAGTGAAAGAGCCGAGTCCTAACCACTGGACTGCCAGGGGATTCCTGAGATCTGATTTTAATCTTAAATCAGGTTTAACAATTAAGTTGTGACTTTGATTTCTTTTTTAAAGCAAAGAACATGTAGCTATTTTTAGTCCATTTAAAAAACTGGACTTTATATAATTAGTAATGTGTGGGAAAAGATGGTTTCATAATAGAGCTGTTGCATATTATAAAGCCTTTGACTGGTTATATACAGGCAAATGGACCCAATTTTATACAATAGGTTTAACATGTGGAACTTAAGTTACAATTATTTAACTTTTGGCACTACTCATATGTTAAGGTATCTATCCTGAGTTATTAACAATAAATGTGTTAATAGTTTTTCTACCTTGTGAAAAAGGAAAATTCTCATGACTCCCTATGGTGAAAAATGATGAGTTTTTAATTTTTGTGGCTGGTTGATAAGATAATTTTCTTAGGAACATGATTTGTTGCTCCTGGTGTGTCAGTCAGCTTGTCTTTATGTGATTTTGCTGTACTTCTAAGGTAGTTCAGAAATCCTGATCTTCCTTGGTAACAAGTCTAAAGCACATATCCTTTCTGATAGAAAGGTAGTAGTATGATCTTATATTCAAAGTACCAATTTTTAAAGAAGAAAATCAAGAACAGAAAAATTTTACTTTGAAAATTACCTGCTCTATTTATAAATAATAATCAAGTGAAATTGTAATATAAATTCTAAAGAACTTTCAGAACTTTTAGGAAAAAGATGTGTTGATTTTTTTCTTCATCCTTCAAAATCCTTTTCTTAAAAAGTCCATACTTGGGCTTCCCTGGTGGCGCAGTGGTTGAGAGTCCACCTGCCGATGCACGGGACACGGGTTCGTGCCGCGGTCCGGGAAGATCCCACATGCCACAGAGCGGCTAGGCCCGTGAGCCATGGACGCTGAGCCTGTGCATCCGGAGCCTGTGCTCCACAACGGGAGAGGCCACAACAGTGAGAGACCCGTGTACCGCAAAAAAAAAAAAAAAAAAAAAAAAATAGTCCATACTTGCCAGAAGTTTCTTTCTAAGTGCTATTTTTAAATAAAATCTTTAATGGCTTTCTATTTCCAGCCATGTTCAATATTAATTCTACCTGCTGGTTCCCCCTGTTATTTCCCACTATTTCTCAATATACTTCATATTGGACAGTCTCTCCATGTCTACAATGACCTCTTTTCTAATTTTCCTTCTTATTTTAAAGGCTTTAGTTTTATTCATTAAATCCTCATTCTTTGTCACTTAGCTTATTAAGCCCATGTTCTTCATGATCCTCACTGACTGGTTTCTCTTTTCATTTCTCTGGGGTCCACAAATGTGTTCTTGGGAGATTGGAAGTTTTCTATATTTTTTTAAATTTTAGTGTACATTTTGGTGATTATCTTAAAGTTACATAAGGATACTATGCCATATCATTTTATAGGCTAACTTACAGTAGAGAACTGCTGTGTAAATTGTGTTCATGCCAACTGAAACCGATGATATCCATGTTCTGTACAAATGAAGATTTCACTGTAGTTTGAATAGTGACATGCTGACAAGTTGGGTTACTAGGTGGTACTTGGTAGTTAAGAAGTATTATGAACTTTAAAAGCCTGTGCCACTCAAGCATATTTATTGAATCCTATTTTCATCTGTATAGGGGCAGCATATAACTAATAGTACAATAGTTTCCATATAAGGAAAAATGTTTCTATTTCCAGTTCTAGTATTTATCAGATTAGATACCCATTTGATTAAAATTTCAATTAACAATACTACATTATTAACTTTCACTGGAATAAGATAGTTTTATAAAATTGTCAACTGATATTTAAATTGTCACTCTTGGTTGCTCTTTGCAGAACTTTGGTTAATTATGAGGCCAAATTATCCTGAGTCAACTTCAAAGTTAATGTTTTATGGAATTATGAACAAGCATTCTTCATATTACTAGTATTAAAATAAAAATACAGAAAATTAAATCTAGAACTGGATATGAGGCTACAGCTTTATACAGTAAACCAAATGTCAGCAATTTAGTTTTACAAACCTTAAATTAATATTGTTAATTTGAATTTTGTTGTTTTTAATATTTGTTTCAATTTTCTTTAAAAATTCGCTTTGAGGAGAGTTCCCTGGCTGTCCATTGGTTAGGACTCCACACTTTCACTGCCATGGGCCCAGGTTCATTCCCTGGTCTGGGAACTAAGATCCCACAAGCTGAGCAGCATGGCCCAGAAAAAAAAAAAGACTGTAAAAATTCACTTTGATTTCAAGTTAAGGGCTATAACCATAAGGCATTTATTTCTACTAGTTTTATACTTGTAGGTATTTAAGTAACATGATAAAACTAATTTAAGTGTTTACTGAGGGTCCCTGGTATTGCCGAGAGAGGCCACTGATCTATGCCATATTTAGTTGTGCTTAATTCTTACCAAGCTTATTTTGAACTTAACATTCTTGGGGTTTTGGTGAAGAAAACTGAGTTCACAAAATAAGTCATCATAGAACTACTAGGATGATTTAAACCTTTAATTTCTACAACATGCCAATGGGCAATGGAGTGTAAGAGTGGCCCAGAGACTTGGCTCCTCACTGACTAGGCACATGACTTCATAAATTGTTTACTGTATGTTAGTCTTTCTTCATTCTTTACAGCTAAGACCCTTCTTTGAACATTTTTATTTCTACTTGCCTGGGAAACATTAAAGTCTGAGATTAGGTGTGGCACTAATTCACTGTAATTGAAAGAAGTTACTTGACA